TGTACAAGTCACGACGCTGTTCTCTGCACTGACAATGTACCTGGCGGGCAGGAAAGATCATGTCAGTGGTGCCACGTGATGGTTTAAAGCCACATTGAGTTTCTGGGAGGAAATTTTCCGCCTCAGGAAGAAGTCTGAGCAGAGTGGCTCCTGGTAAGGGCTGCTCAGTCGCAATGACAGGACCGGATTGCACTGCTGCCTAGATCCCAGGGCTAAACGACCATCTTATCAATGCCGCTCATGCGCAGAGTTGTGACTATAGACTCCAGGTAGTCATCTCTGCCTGTACCAGTCGCCACTCGTCTGTCACCATAGCGCCATAGGACTTTTGGCGGATAGGAGTTTTAATGATGATGGGAAGTTAGACGAGTTGGATGATGGCTGCGCATGAGTTGATTTATGTGGTGAGGAGGGAGCGCAGGCTGCAACCACACATCTTGGCTCTTCCTTTTCCTGATCCTGTGGTGCAGGTAGTTGCAACGACTGGGAAAAAGGATCCCAGTTTGTTGGGTTTTGCCTTAGTAGCCTGTCCATCTTGCATTGCCTTCAGCCGCCGATGTAGTCGTTGGATTCCCATGTTGGGGTTCTTGTTGGAGCTCTGTAAACATGTCTGCCTGATGCGGGGCTGCACCACAGATTTTTTGTTTAGGGTTTACTCCCGTAGCCTTATACCTTCCAAGATTAATCCGCAAGGCAGCGCGGCAGTGGTTGGTAGGTTCCAGGGCATGTCCACATGCCGGTGGACCTATGTGCAGTCCCTCTGGGGCCCACCGCTGCTCCGAGATCCCCTGCTGTGTTGCCTGGGGCCGCGAGGCACCCAGTTACCATGTGTTGCCACGAGGAGGCAAAGCAGGAGTCTTGATGGTGAAGAGGGTGTACACTGGCAGGGGAAGACTTAAGCAAGGTTGCTTCACTGTTCACCACGAGGGTAGTGAGCGGCGGTAGCTAAAAGCGAGAGGTAGCAAGCAGTGCCTGCACCTTAACACTAACATAATGCTGCAACACTAGACACATTACACCACCCTGTTTGTTCTCACACACACACACACACACACACACACACACACACACTTCATGATGACCCTTGTGGTGCGACGTCGGCGACGATGATAATCATGGTGAAGGTGACGAGGAAGGTGACGAAGGGTACAGAGAGGACTCTAAAGACATAAAGGGGGTGTAGTATAACAACCATGGCGGCGGGGGAGGGGGGAAGAGGGGAAGAAGAGGGAGGAAAACGATGGAAGTGAAGAGGGAAGAAAAGGGAGGAAAAGGAAGGAAGACAAGAAAAGGGAGAGAGGAAGAGGAAGAAAACGGTGAGAGGAGAGAGAGATGTTGAAAAGGGGAGAGGGGGAAAGGGGAAGAAGGGGAGAAGGGGAGAGGGGGAGAGGGGGGGCAGAATTGTTAGGTAATTAAGCACGTCTGAGGGGTGAGAGGGGAGGAGCGGGAAGTATGAGAAGTAGAAAACTGTGGATTATGACTCACCATCCCTATCCCTCCCCCCTCCAAAAAAATAAATAAAATAAATAAATAAACAATATATATATATATATATATATATATATATATATATATATATATATATATATATATATATATATATATATATATATATATATATATATATATATATATATGTATATATATATATATATATATATATATATATATATATATATATATATATATATATATATATATATATATATATATATATATATATATATATATATATATATATATATATATATATACATATATATACATATATATATCACGCACACACACAAAGATATATATTGTAGATGGTCAAAAGTCTCTCAATGTTACCAGGAACTAATCATCTCATTTCAGTGCATTATTCAACAACTCTCAAAACATTCATTAACATTATTCAACCTGTCAACATTCCTCAACATCGGATGAAGAAAGTTGAGTAAAAGGAGATAGGGGCAGTAAGAACGACATACAGAGAGAGAGAATGATGATGATGATGATAAATTGGATTTCACTGATGTAATGACGACGGGAGAAGAGGGAGGGGGCGGGGGGAAGGTACGGAGAAAATTGAGGGACTGGTTTATAATAATGGATAAGGTGAACACAGTCAACTTTAGATCAAATTTTGTTTAATATTACTAAATACCATTATTGCACCGGGTGACTCTAGACTTGAGAACACAGCACAACACACCGGGTCAGAACAGGACACGAGTATTGGAGGTTATAATAAGCTGTGCAGAGGAAGTAAGATACGTCTCAACTCGTAAAATAAAGCACAGTATATTTGGATTAGTTCTTGGTAGTGTAGATAATGTATACACATGGAGGTGTGACTGAGTGTATGTGGAGGCTGTTAAATGGTCTTAGTTTGTTTGTTTGTTTAGAGATATTAAGTTTGTGTCTTCTTTAACATTCTTTAACATGAGTGCAGTACACTACATTCATCAACAATACTGCAATCCTCAACATTCTTATGCTTATTAAAACCATCAAATCCAACATTAATGCTTCACGCAACATTCTCCAACATTCCTACGACAACCACCATTTTTACATCACAACATTATTCAGCACTGCTGCGTCACTTAACATTCCACAGCAACATGCGTCACATCAAGAATGTCAACAACATCTATGATAGATTGTCCTTATTATACTGTATTGGCCAAGTGTGTGTGTGTGTGTGTGTGTACAAACATGTACTCATGTCTGTGCACGTTCATGTTTGTGTATGCTGGATATGTTTATACACACGTGCATGTGTGTCAGAGTACATACATTCACGTAGGAGTGTTGTATGTGCGTTGGTGCTCGCGTGTGTGAAAGTGTGCTAATGCGAGTATAGTGTACAGTATGTGCTTATGCAAGTATAGTGTATGTGCTTTTGCGAGTATAGTGTATGTGCTTATGAAATATAGTGTATGTGCTTATACGAGTATAGTGTATGTGCTTCTACAAGTAGTGTGTGTACATAAGTCTGTTCTTGCGTTCCTCCTTACATTCTCAGAAAGTACGTCGCTGTCAAATTCTTCAGAAACGTCAGCAGTGTCAGTCAGAAATTCACCGACATACCTTCGAGAAGCCGATCAGATGTGAGGTAGACCTGTCGACAGGCTCACGTGGCGATCTGTGAAATAACTGAGGGGATTAAAGTCTCTTTGTTGTTATAAAACCTTAGACATGACAGCAACAAGTAATTGGGAAGGATTAATGGGGGTCACCTGTTTGCGAAACTATACTTGGGTGGTCGGCTCACCTGAAGATTAGACACCCTAGCTTATTTCACCTGTTGATTACAGTAGACGTCCTGAAGCCACCTGGGGAGGGGGAAGGGGTACTGTTAAGTTAGGGTGTTTAATATTAGGTGAAAAAAGTTGGGGTGTCCTATTTTCAGGTGATGTGGTTAGTGGACTGTTAGTTCGTGCTAAAACTGGGCTAACGAACTGGCGACATCTCTCTCATAACTACTGAAGGTAAGGACAGAATCAAACCCTTCCACAAAGACTAAAAGAGGATGGAGGAAAGCTGATGGGTACTTTTTCAATAACGCTTTCTATCTCTCTTACTCTCTTACTAATACTATCTATCTATCTATCTATCTATCTATCTATCTATCTATCTATATATATATATATATATATATATATATATATATATATATATATATATATATATATATATATATATATATATATATATATATATATATATATATATATATTTGGCATTTGTTTAATCATCTTGGTACAAAATCTCTGGGTAACTTAATGAAAATATCTTGTTCAAACTTCCATCTTTTCCTCTAAATATAAATAACTCAAGTGGTGGGTTATGGCGGGGTGTTTACACTCTAAAAATAAAGGTGGGCGGTGGTAATAAGTGGGTACATCAGTGTTTAGTCATCTCCCCGCCCTTACCTGAGTGGCCGCCTACTTGCTGTCACAAACACGAGGATACGTAAGTAAATGGAATGGCAGACGTTAAGTATAGGCATGTTTCGTTGATAACATCCTTAACCAATATGAACGCCACGCCTACGTAGGAAATAATTGTTGTACAGTGCTACGTTTGGCAGTGTGTGAGAGATGATGTAATGAGCTCCTCGTTTAAAAATATATCTCAAGCATTTTTTTAAACTAATTGGACACTGGCATACTCTGGCATGAGCACCAAGGTCTTATGTCATAATAGGAGGATTTTATTGCGCCTTTTACCTTAAAAGTCAGCGCTAAGGTAGTGGGGGGTAAGGGCGGTGGGTCAGGGGGTGGTGGGCGTGAGGTCGGCTGGTCAAGGTGTGGTGGCGTGAGGGCGGCTGGTCAGGGGATGGTGGGCGTGAGGGCGGAGGGTCAGGGAGAGGTGTGCATGAGGGCGGAGGGTCAGGGTTGGTGAGCACGAAGGCAACGGGTCAGGGAGTGGTGGCGTGGGGGCGGCTGGTCAGGGGATGGTGGGAGTGAGGACGGCGAGTCAGGGAGTGGTGTGTGTGAGGATTGTGGATCGGGGAGTGGTCGGCTTAAGGGAGGCGGGTCAGGTGTGTGGTGGCGTGAGGGCGGCGGGGTCAAGGAGAGTGGGGCGTGGAGGGCAAAGGGTCAGGGTGTGGTGGTCTTGAGGGAGGCGGGTCAGGGTGTGGTGGCGTGAGGTGCGGCGGTCAAGGAGTAGTGGCGGAGGGCAGCGGGTCTGGGTGTGGTGGGCATGAGGGCAACGGGTCAAGGAGTGGTGGCTGAGGGCAGCGGGTCAAGGAGCGAAGTGGGCGGAGGGCGGCTGGTCAGGGATAGTTGGCGGAGGGCGACGGTCGTGACGGGTGCGTTAACACCAAGGACCCACCCATTACGCACCTTGATAACGCTGAGATTACCAGGGTGGTGCAGGGGGCCACTTATTTTTGAATATGGTATGTCGAGCAGCGAACCCCGATATACCCGGGAGGTGGGGGGTGGGATTCGATATACCTGAGAGGGGAGCTGAATATACCTGGGTTAGTGAGGACCCTGAAATACCTATGTCGAGACCTCTATCACCCGGGCACCACGATACTCCCAGGGTGAAGGGTGGTGGAGAGGGGGTAATGGGGTAGGTGTTTTCTAAGTGTCAGTGACAGGACACAGTCAGTGACCAGCTTCGCCTCCCATCCGACGCCCTCAGTCTTCCACCGCCACCACGTACGTAACGTTGACTCATACTTCTAGTGTTGTGAGCTGCACGAAAACTCCACTGGAATAAAGTAGGTACCCAGTGTTCCTTCACGTCTCCATCCACACACCTCCCAAGTTGTCTCCTTTGCTGATTAAGGACACCTGTTTTGAACCCACTTTGCCTCCCATCTTGTACATCTGGGTAGTGAACTGGAGATAAGAACCAGAATAATATAACAGCAGTGGATCGCTCTGTATCGTTAAACTCAAACACTGGACAGGAAAGTGTCTGGATAAGAACTATAACCCGAGACTGACTCACTCCACCATGGACAACTTCGTGACTCTCCTCTCTGTGAATTGAGTGAAGAAATAATCAGCGCCACCACTAAACAAAACCTGCAGGTCCTCAGCGACAACCGTGAGTACTGACTGTATATGAAGTAATGACTCTTAATTACTTACATGTGTTACTTACAATCTAGTTATAAGTTACAATCACACTGCCGCTTCGAATTTCAAAGACTGGATGGTTAATCGTTATATTAATATTACGAATTTCAATGTTTCTATCACCGTCCCTCACCATAATCATTCACCATTGTCTCTCATCATTATCGCTGGACTAGAAAAGATTTGTACGCCTGGGATAGACTACAACCAAATCCGTCAAGTCAGAATACTTTTGGCAGACTGTTTCACGAGAGTTCTTAACCCAGAGAAGCAACGTAAAGAGGAGAACGACGAGAGCTAAGACCAACAAGCCTTCAACAAACTCTTACAAGTCTTTATACTTATGCCAAGTGTGGTAGACAATAAAACGGATAAGGTAAAATGCATCCTGAGATCAATTTTATATATTATCGCCTGTATCAATAAACGAAGCAGGTCAGATATAACGCCTTCACAAGTGTGTCCTCCTACTAGTGACCCCTTTACAAGTGTCCTCCTACTAGTGACGCCTTTACAAGTGTGTCCTCCTACTAGTGACGCCTTTACAAGTGTCTTCCTACTAGTGACGCCTTTACAAGTGTCTTTCCCCTACGAGTGACCCCTTTACAAGTGTCTTTCTACTAGTGACCCCTTTACAAGTGTCTTTCTACTAGTGACCCCTTTACAAGTGTCTTCCTACTAGTGACGCCTTTACAAGTATATCTTCCTTCTAGTGACGCCTTTACAAGTGTTTTTCCCCTACTAGTGACCCCTTTACAAATGTCTTCCTACTAGTGGCGCCCTTACAAATGTCTTCCCTACTAGTGACGCCTTTACAAGTGTCTTCCTACTAGTGATGCCTTTACAAGTGTGTTTTCCTACTAGTGACGCCTTTACAAGTCTTCTTACTAGTGACGCCTTTACAAGTGTGTTCTTTCTAGTAACCCTTTGCAAGTGTCTTTCTACTAGTGACGCCGCACAAGTGTCTTCCTACTAGTGGCGCCCCCCACAAGTATGTCTTTCCCCTACTAGTGACGCCTTTACAAGTGTCTTCCCTACTAGTGACTCCTTTACAAGTGTCTTTACTAGTGACGCCTTTACAAGTGTGTTCTTTCCTACTAGTGACTGCCACAAGTGTCTTCCTACTAGTGACTCCTTTACAAGTGTCTTCCTACTAGTGACGCCTTTACAAGTGTGTTCTTTCCTACTAGTGACGCCCTTACAAGTATGTCTTCCTACTAGTGACGCCTTTACAAGTGTCTTCCTACTAGTGACGCTACAAGTGTCTTCCTACTAGTGACTCCTTTACAAGTGTCTTCCTACTAGTGACGCCTTTACAAGTGTGTTCTTTCCTACTAGTGACGCCTTTACAAGTGTCTTCCTACTAGTGACTCCTTTACAAGTGTCTTCCTACTAGTGACGCCACAAGTGTGTTCTTTCCTACTAGTGACATACAAGTATGTCTTTCCCTACTAGTGACGCCTTTACAAGTGTCTTCCGACTAGTGACGCCTTTACAAGTGTGTTCTTTCCTACTAGTGATGCCTTTACAAGTGTGTTTTTCCTACTAGTGACGCCTTTACAAGTGTGTTTTTCCTACTAGTGACGCCTTTACAAGTGTCTCCTACTAGTGACGCCTTTACAAGTGTCTTCCTACTAGTGATGCCTTTACAAGTGTGTTTTCCTAATAGTGACGCCTTTACAAGTGTGTTTTCCTACTAGTGACGCCTTTACAAAGTGTCTTCCCTACTAGTGACGCTACAAGTGTCTTCCTACTAGTGATGCCTTTACAAGTGTGTTTTTCCTACTAGTGCCTTTACAAGTGTGTTCTTTCCTACTAGTGACGCCTTTACAAGTGTCTTCCTACTAGTGATGCCTTTACAAGTGTGTTTTTCCTACTAGTGATGCCTTTACAAATTGTTTTTTCCTACTAGTGACGCCTTTACAAGTGTCTTTCTACTAGTGACGCCTTTACAAGTGTGTGTGAAGTAAAGGTATTATCAGTGGGTTTTTTGTCAAGATTTATTTTCTATTCGAAAACTGTGTCAAAATTATCCTTCAGTTTTTTCTGAAGGAGGAGATGTACTGTATAGTCAATCATAAGAGAAAGTGGTCCCCCCGGAAGAGAGGTCCTGTAACTCTTGGCATTTCAGTTCTGGTAACAGTGTACCTGACGTAGGAGCTGAGGGTGAAGTATTAGATCACTGCCATCTGCACGAACCACTGCCTCGGTTCATGTTCGCTTCATGCACAACTAATACGAGGTGAATATAACAGAGTATATCTTACTTCTACTCAGGTAATTTATATCTTCACTTAGACAAACACACACACTATATATATATATATATATATATATATATATATATATATATATATATATATATATATATATATATATACTATAAAACACGTCAATCTTAACAAAGATGGATGTCTGGCTGTGTGCGGGTCCGTTTAGGCTTTCCCCCTTTCTGACAACTCACACATACGAACACACACGATGGAATTGTGTGTTCACTAAAAATACGTAAGATGATATTATGGTTATCAATCAAGTATAATCCTAAGTCGCATATCCGATTACACATTCTAATTTGTTTGATAAGATATGAAGATTAACTCTCTAGGTTTCCCACCAATACCTGGGCAGAGAGGACAGTAGTGCTGGCCCTTGTTCACTCTAGTCTCCTTAGATATAATTCCGGCTTCGAGTGTCATTAAAATTCATTGTAAACATTAGACGGGTAATTACTATAATGTGAACTATACACTTTATTATGATAATTGTTATAATATTGACCTTATTCATCGAACTATAAACTATATCGAATCTAAGCTTAGTCTGCAAAAGAAGAGTTCATTCGAATATTTACATGGTGAGAATTAGTGAGTTGGGGAGAAGCCTTCCCTAGTTGTTTAGGAAGGTCGAACAGTCCAAGGACGCTGCATGGTCTCAAACACAGCGAGGTAAGAACACCCATATGCTATTTATATAAGTTCAATCACATCACAAACTTACGTGTTTGAAATCAGCTGTAAGTTATTTTATATGCGGCTTTTGGTTACGTAAATATTTATAACGTATTGTTGTCTGAGATACCAATACGAGTGACTGATTCAAGGTCACATTCATATCGGAGAGAGAAGCACCTTACTGTGTGTGTGTGTGTGTGTGTGTGTGTGTGTAGTAATAATAATATATAATAATAATAATTAACGGTTTATTGACAAAGTTCTGCAGCCCGAAGGCTGAAAGTATACATTAGACAAAAATGACGTATTACTGTGCATACTGTACAAAGACATGGGGTGGGTGGGTCGTTCAACAAAAGCTTTCATTACTGAAAGGAGAAGGAACATGAATTGAACATACAAATTTGTATAGTTTGCAGCTGATGGCCGGGCTAGTCTCTTGCCATACTGTGTGAGGTCACATAGGCCTTGTGGTTCAGTAACTCGTCCGTAGGTGTTGACATGAAAGACCTCACGTAGTCATGGAGACACAGGGTGGAGTGGTGTTCACGTGGTGCAGTTACTCGTCCGTAGGGGTTGAAATGAAGGACCTCACGTGGTCATGGAGACACAGGGTGGAGTGGTGTTCACGTGGTGCAGTTACTCGTCCGTAGGGGTTGACATGAAAGACCTCACGTAGTCATGGAGACACAGGGTGGAGTGGTGTTCACGTGGTGCAGTTACTCGTCCGTAGGGGTTGACATAAGAACATAAGAATGGAGGAAACTGCAGCGGGCCTATTGGCCCATACTGGGCAGTCCCGTTTACACCTAACCCCTATTGCTCATATAAGCATCCAACCTATGTTTGAAGCTATTCAGCGTATTCGAGTTAATGATGATATTTGGTAACTTGTTCCATTCATCCACTACTCTGTTTCCAAACCAGTGTTTACCTATTTCGCGCCTAAATCTAAATTTGTCTAATTTAAAACCATTTTTGAGTTCGCTCCTGGTTGGATAGTTTGAGTACCTTTGTAATGTCCCTTTGTTTAGCCCTGACTTCCATTTATACACCTCTATCAGGTCGGCCTCGCTCTACCTCTCTCGAGGGAGTGCAAATTAAGATGCTTTAACCTGTCTCTATACTCAAGGTTCCTCATGCCCGGGATTAGTCTTGTCATTCTCCTCTGAATTCTTTCCCAGGATTCTATATCCATTCTGTATCGGTGACCAAAACTGAACTGCGTAATCCAGGTGTGGTCTCACAAGCGCAAGATAAAGGACCTCACGTGGTCATGGAGACACCAGGTGGTGTGGTGTTCACGTGGTGCAGTAACTCGTCCATAGGTATTGATATGAAGGACCTCACGTGGTCATGGAGACACCGGCTGGTGTGGGGTGGTGTCACAATACCTCACTCTCTGCTAGGTGGTGTTGTGTTATCTCGTAGTCAGGTGTGAAGCCGACCCATTGTTGTTCCCATGGTGGACTGATTAGCACCTCCTGGTCAGAAGATGGTGGTCAGTTCCCAGGGGTGATTATCTCAGTGGTGGGTCACTACTCTCACTGGTACTGTCTGGTGCTGAATTCATTGTTCATCACTGTTCAACATTGATCCCACTTCTTTCCGAAACAAAATTGTCACTTTTTATTATGTTGAGATCCCGGTGGTGAGGATGGGTCGGGGAGAGGGACTTAAGGAATGGGGCCGAACATGGCCAAGAGGGGCCGCTTGGCTATTAGGTTTTGACCCTCCAGTGGTCAAGGATATAGTATGTGTGTGTGTGTGTGTGTGTGTGTGTGTGTGTGTGTGTGTGTGTGTGTGTGTGTGTGTGTGTGTGTGTGTGTGTGTGTGTGTGTGTGTCTCAATCTTAGCTCAATGCTTGTATAATAAAGGTAGAGAGAGAAAGAAAGAATAATATGAATCGCATTTTATATGTGACCCAACAGCTTATGTGCAGATTTCCGGCTTCAGCATACTGTACTATATTCATTAATGGGGCCATGTATCCTGTAATGAAAGCCTCCAGGTT